AAGTGAAAATGTGGAATCAATTCTGGGGAAAGGGTGTGGTACAAGCAGATGGGGCTGAGAGCCCAGACTCCTGGATCCCCTTTACATGGGGTCTAATGATTAAAGCAGGGAGCATCAGGGAATCAGGACTCTTGGGTACTGTTCATTGCTTGACAAGTCCTTCTGCTCAGTACATTATGTACAGTAATGTATGGTTAACTGATTTGTGTATGGGTCATTGTGCATGCACTTCTCTACCAACTCAGCTCCCTTTCCAGCCAGTCTGGGAGCCATGAAGACTGCCCATATGTATGTGACACCTGTAAACTCCCCTCCAACAGAGAGAAGGGAGCCCAGAAAAGTGTGCCTAAATTGGAATTAAGCTGAGATCATTTCCACTGGGCTTCAGTAAGCTTTTCCTTCTGCAAGAAGTTTAGTCTGGAGCTCAAAACATTGGACTGGCAGGTGAAAATCACAGGTGCTGCCCCTGACTCTGCTTCACCCCTTCCTTGAGTGTGTTATTTCCTCTGTCTGGGCCTCCTCTTCCCTGTCTGCACAATGGAGCTGATAGGACTTGCCCACCAGTGGGAGCTTCTGTACCAACCTGAATGATAACCATAGGCCTACACAAAGGATGAGTAGAGCTGGGATACTAGGCTAGAAAGGCATGCAACACACTGAGCTGTAAAGAGACACACTTTGAAGAGGGTGACTACTGTCTAGCCATCAGGGCATAAGGCTCTTGAGTGGTGGGCTAACTGGCTGTGGTACAGAATGTGGTGCAGTGGGATTCAGGGCTCTGGAATAGCTGGGCAATGATGTGTTATTGAAACCTGTTGGGATCTAGACCGGGGTGGGCAAAATATGGCTCATGGAGGGACTTTGTCCAGCCCATGGTGGTTCCCACCTAAGCCAGGCAGCATCCAGCCTGTGATGTGTCCCACCATCCCTGGGAGTGCAGCAGGGCTGGGGGGGCTCTGTGACCATACTCCATTTCCTGGCAGCCCCAGTGGTGGTGGCTTCTTCTGACTGCCACTGCCTTTGGCCCAGCACAATGACATATACCCAGTATGAAGCTGGAGATAGGCCTGCTGAGAGTCTCTGGGTTAGGGTCAGAGGGGACAGCAACAAGGGTGATGTGATGGTGGGGGCCTGCTATAGACCACCAGACCAGGGGGAAGTGGTGGATGAGGCTTTCTACAAACTGCTAGTGGGAGTTTCTGGATCACAGACCGTGGTTTTCATGGGAGACTTCAATCATCCTGACATCTGCTGGGAGCCCAATACAGCAGTGTGCAGGCAATCCAGGAAGTTTTTGGAGAATATTGGGGGCAACTTCCTGGTGCAAGTGTAGGAGTGGCCAACTAGGGGCCATGCTCTTCTTGACCTGCTGCTCACAAACAGGGAAGAATTGATGGGGAGTATAGTAATGGATGGCAACTTGAGCAGCAGTGACCACAAGATGATTGAGATCAGGATCCTTATGAAAGAAAGGATGGAGACCAGTAAAGTAAGGACCCTGGACTTCAGAAAGCAGAATGAATGGACTGTCAGGTAGATGGAAAACTGGCTGGAGCATTGGGCTCAGAGAGTTGTAATCAATGGCTCAATGTCTAGTTGGCAGCTGGAATCAAGTGGAGTGCACCTGGGGCTGGTCCTGGAGTCAGTTTTGTTCAATGTCTTCATCAATGACCTGGAAGATGGCATAGAGTGCACCCTCAGCAAGTTTGCAGATGACACCAAGCTGGGGGGAGTAGTAGATACGGGCTAGGATTCAGAGTGACTTAGACAAATTGGAGGATTAAGCCAAAAGGAATCTCATGAGGTTCAAATGTTGGCACTAGATTTAGGGCCGAAGTGGCTTGTTCCGGAAGTGCAGGGGGACCCACCCTCAGACCAACCACAACCTTTCCATTTGATAATGGAACAAGGAACAGTGGTCACAAACTGACAGAGAGCAGATTTAGGCTAGATATCATGAAAAACTTCTTCACAGTAAAAGTGGCCAAAATTTGGAATGGGCTTTCAACGGAGGTGGTGCTCTCCCTTACCTTGAGGGTCTTTAAAAGAAGGCTGGATAGGCATCTGGCTGGGATCACCTGACCCCAGCACGCAGGGGGTCGGACTCAATGATCTGTTGAGGTCCCTTCCGACCCTAACATCTATGAATCTATGAATAATAGGCAAATTTATTGATACACAATGATAACAGAAAAGAAACAATACAAACAATCAAACAATTCTATATAGCTACAAAATCCAAAAAAGGATGGTACATGCCCCCAGTTTCTCGGACTATGTGTATATCCATTGGCCTTGTTGTGTTAGACAGCCTGTCTGCTTTGAAGGCTGTGTGAAACTGTGTGTGTGTGTGACCCAGGCTTTTTAGAAAACAATTCACCCCTGCTGCCCATCCTGAGTCATTCTAATGTATAAAATCACTGGAATCACCTGGAAAGTTCATGAGAGTAGTGGGGAGGGCCCCCACCAGTCATCCCAGGAAAAGTATGATGGCATTTGTGGTCAGGGGCTCCAATGGGCTGGACACTGTGAGGAACCCTAAGCCATTGTTCAAATCTCACCCATACCCACTCTGATTCAGTCTCTTGCCTTAGCATTCCCTAGCCTGACAACTGGGGTGAGTCATGCAACTGAGCTGTGGGTGGCTGCCTGTCTGTACGTGCACATGTCTGTGTGTCTGCCCCTCACTCCCAAACCACATTCCCCCCCGCCCTGCTGCTGCTGCCCCTCACTCCTAACCTACAGTACCCTGCATCCTGCCAGGGTGTGTGGGGACCGCTTCCCCCCTACTCAGGCTCCAAACCCCACACATACCCCCACAGCTTCACATATAATCCTCCCCGCAAAAATACATATACACATTTCAAAAATAGCATCTCATGATTTACATTCCAAATCTTTTGATTTTTCTTAAAAAGTCTTCCATCTATTGATTCCTCTGTGAAATCTATTAAATATGAACTTTCATTTCTATCCAGGAGAACTTTTACAATCTTTTCTCTAATGCCTGATCAAGGGTGTTTTGCCCAAAAACTTCCAATTAAAGAATTTTTTTGCTAAAATCTTGTTGGTCTAATAAAAGTTATCATCTCTACTATGACTCCTGATTACCTTACACACATCCCAGGGCTTTTCTGACAGGGCTGAAACAGGGAGAAAGAAGAAGCTGGCCCAGACCAGCAGAGCATCATCCTAGTCAGGTTAGTGTCCTGACCTCCCACCTTAGCCAAAGTGTCACAAGCCAGATAGAGCAGATTAGTCTATCTCATTTGTGGCAGCTCAGGCACCACAATAGGTGCTCAGATAGGTTTGAGGCATCCAAAATGTCTGCAACACATCACCAGCCAACTAGTCCAGCATCGCACACCCTTTCCTGTGCATGTTCACAGGGCAAATAGACCAGTACCCCATTTCATACAGGAGTATAGAGTTGGCCACCTACTTTATTACTCACTACCTCTGGACACCAGATCATTGTCCAGAAGCCCAGAATCCAAGAAGCTTT